TGTCCATGGGCATTTAGGTTGCTTCCATGTCCTGGCTATTGTAAATAGTGCTGCAATGAATATTGTGATACATGACTCTTTTTGAATTATGGTTTTCTCAGGGTATAGGCCAGTAGTGGGATTGCTGGGTCATATGGTAGTTCTATTTTTAGTTTTTTAAGGAACCTCCACACTGCTCTCCATAGAGACTATCAATTTACATTCCCACCAACAGTGCAAGAGGGTTCCCTTTTCTCCACACCCTCTCCAGCATGAAATGGTAAATTTTAAAGGGAGCTAAAAAATGCTTCTTGGAAGAAAAAATAATGAACCTATTGAGATGATCATCTTCCCCTTTCAAGAAATAGTATGTGCTAAAAATAGATTCATTGACAGCTTAACTCCATCAAGAATTAAGGAAGAATGATAGGAGATAGGTAAAATTAGACAGCTCTACTTGCGCCTCAATCCTCAGTGTTCCTTGAGCCACTGTCATAAAGAATACTAGAATAGATAAGTCACTGTGACTGACAATATATTCTACTTTCTTGTTTTCAGTTATATTGTGGTTAATGCTGGGAAGTGTGGACTGTTAAATGTGCAGTTCTCTGAATTTTACTTGCTTTTGTTCAGTGCTATTTTGCCTCACATCTTCAAAGGAAATTCAGCATTCATTTCAAGAGAAATTGTTTTCTTTCTTGTAGGACATTTATAATGTATTTATATATATTGCATGTTATATACATTATATAATACATTTTAAGAGAGGAATGCTTATACCATTAAAATAAGATTTGAATCAAAGCAAATTATTGAAAGAAAACCCACCCCCAAAACATACCTTCTACAGAAATCCTTCATTGGTTTAATTATTACTTGGAATTATATCTGGGACTGCTCTTGTACTCCCCATCACACCAAGGCTGGAGCATCAGGCGTCACTGGGTTTGTTTTGATGGTGATGGTGGTGGTGGTGGTGGTGGTGGTGGTGACTGATGATGGTAGCTAACATTTATTGAGTATTTATAAGGGCTTGGCAGGTGTTAACTCATTTCATGCTCATAGGAACCTAGAAGGCATAATTATTCCCATTTTACAAATGAGGAAGCTGAAACAGAGAGATGAAGTAACAGTTCAGAGTTGCATATTTATGGATAGAGCTGGGCACACATCTGGCCATCTGGCTCCAGAGTCTAGAGTCTTGACCACCACACTGCCTCTTCTGGATATTTATACCTAGGCCCAAATCTTTGAATAAATAGACCATTTAAGAACTGCATGAACA